GGTCTCCCGTTCTTTTCGTTTTTCCCTGTGACTCTGCCACCTTCTGCCTTGCCCAGGCCGTGATCGGAACAATGCAGCCAGGACACAAAGTGGGGGCCGCCTGTGGACTGCCTGTGTAGGTGACACCGTTAACACCACAGTGCCTAACGGGTCAATGTCACACGTTGAGGTTCTTCGTGACCGGCCAAGACAGGCCGTCAAGTCCACAGTGAGGGAATGAGGGGTGGCGGGGAGGACGAGAACAGCAACCCAGCATCTGGGGTACCTCGGCAAAGCATCCGAGCCTCTGAAGGTCTGAACTAGACCAGGACCCTCCCTCTGCCTGCCTGCCTGCGCCCTCCCGCGGGGGGACCTGCAGCAAGGGGGCTCCGCCCTGCCCAAAGCGGCTGTCGCTGGCCGAGCAGACCCAGGGGCCGTCAGGTGCAGGGAGATGTGTGACATGACGCCGGCCAGGCCCGGCGTGTGGCCCAGACTGTGGGCACGGCACACGGCTCAGAAGCCTGGAAGACATCCCCGCACCGCCCCCCCAACCCCCAGCCCTGGCTGATTGCCCGGAGATAAGCTGGCCGAGGCACGCCACCCCCCCTCCACCCTCCACCCCGGGCAGCAGGTGTAGTGGTAGGGTTGCGGCTGCAGCCACAGGACTGGTGGGCAGCCACCTGCTCTCCGTGACTGCCAGCCACAAGGACATAACAAGGCCAGAGCCCTGGGGCAGTGTCTCACTGGCCCGTCTCCTCCCCAGCCACAAGGGCCCCGTGTGTGTAAGACGCAGTGGCCATGGGAGGCTCTGGCGTTGAGAGTCTGGGTCGGGGCGGCACAGGGTGGCGGCAAGGGGGGAGACGGTGAGCTCAGACCTGCCTCAACCCTGTGGGTCCCGCCAGCAGCCTTGGCTCCTGGGCCAGCGTCTCGCACGCGACCTTGACCACAGGCAAGTCTTCTGAGGCAAGTCTTCTGAGCAGCTTGCCAATGCCCTCTTGCTGTCGGTCGCCCTCCTTGGTCTCAGGTGCCAGGCCCCCCGAATAGCCCGGGCCCTCGTCTCCCACACCAGCTGCTGGGCACTTGGCAAGCCCCCCATCCCCCAGCCTCCTGCTCTCCTGGGATCTGTCACCTGTTTGTCCTTAAGAGGCCTGCTCCCTCTGGGGCCCTGGCATGATAGCATAATGGTTAAGGCCCTCGCCTTGAATGCGCCGGGATCCCATAGGGACACCGGTTCTAATCCCAGCAGCTCCACTTCCCATCCAGCTCCCTGCCTGTGGCCTGGGAAAGCAGTGGAGGACAGCCCAAAGCCTTGGATCCCTGCACCTGCGTGAGAGACCTGGAAGAAGCTCCTGGCTCCTGGCTTCAGATCGGCGCAGCACAGGTCGTTGCTGTCACTTAGGGAGTGAATCATAAAAATAAATTATTTTTGTTGGAAAGGCGAATATGCAGAGAGGAGGAGAGACAGAGAGGAAGATCTTCCGTCCAATGATTCACTCCCCAAGTGACCACAACGGCCGATGCTATGCCGATCCGAAGCCAGGAGCCTCTTCAGGGTCTCCCACATGGGTACAGGGTCCCAAGGTTTGGGGCCGTCCACTGCTTTCCCAGGCCACAGGCAGGGAGCTGGATGGGGAAGTGGAGCAGCCGGGATTAGAACCGGTGCCCAGATGGGATCCTGATGCATGCAAGGCGAGAACTTTAGCCACTAGGCTACTGCGCCTGGCCGTGTGTGTTTTGTTTTTTTCAAGGAAAATGTCAGACGTGCAGTCCCATCTCTGCTGTTTCAATCTACGGATGCCCACACTGACCTGGGCTGGACCAGGCCAAAGTCAGGAATCTACAGTGCAACCTGGGTGCCCTGCGTGGGTGCCAGGTAGCAGGGACCGAAGGACTTAAGCCACCCAAGGTGTGCATTAGCACGAAGCTGTGTCCCGGCAGTGGAGACACGTCTGTTTGCTGAGAGATGTATTTGAAACTCAGTTACAGGGCCCGGCGCGGTGGCGCAAGTGGTTAAAGGTCCTCGCCTTGCACGTCCGGCATCCCATATGGGTGCCGGTTCTAATCCCGGCAGCCCCGCTTCCCTTCCAGCTCCCTGCCTGTGGCCCGGGAAAGCAGTCGAGGACGGCCCAAAGCTTTGGGACCCTGCACCCGCGTGGGAGACCCGGAAGAGGCTCCTGGCTTCGGACCGGCATAGTATCGGCCCGTTGCGCTCACTTGGGGAGTGGATCATCGGACGGAAGACCTTCCTCTCTGTCTCTCCTCTCTGTATATCCGCCTTTCCAATGAAAAAATAATAAAAATAAATCTTTAAAAAAAAAAAAAAGAAAGTCAGTTACAGAGCAAGAATGGGGAGACAGACAGAGAGGTACCTTCCGCCGTTGGACCACTCCCCCAAAGAGCCCCCACGACTAGAATCGGGCCGGTCCAAAACTCGAGACCCGGGAGCTTCGTCCAGGTCTCCCACATGGATCCTGGGGCCCAAGGCCTTAAGGCACTTCTGTTGTTTTCCCAGGCCACAAACAGGGACTTAGACCTGCACCCACAATGGGGATGCCAGCGCGCGGGCAAAGGATGTGCCAGCGGGCGGCCCCTCGTCATGTTGAATGGCTGCGGGGCCGCTGTGCACTGCCGTCACACCCCTGCCCCCGGGGACGGGCCCCTGTGCTTGGCTAACACATCGCAGTGAGAAACACCTGTTGGGGAAGCGGTGAGCCGTGCTCAGCGCCCCGGAGAGGGACCCTGGACCCTTTAGACCCTGCCCCACCTCCTCACGTCCATCTCAACCCCAGACCGGTAGAGCCCAGCCTCAGGGGGCTGCTGTTCCCAGCTGCTGGGCTCACACGGATCCAGCAGGAACGGGGGAAGCGCCAGGGCCCTGGCTGTGGCCAGGGCGGGTATTAGGAGTCCTCCCCCCCCCCCCGGACAATAATGGTATCCCATGAGACACTTGATTAGACCACAAAGGCCACTGACCGGCCTGGGGAAGGCAGCTTACTGAAGGCAGCCTCGCAGGGCACAGCGGAAGGGATCGGCCGGCCGTGCACCAAGCCAGGGGCTTTGCGCAGGGTGGTGGGGAGGGAAAAAATGCCATTTTTTTTTTTTCCTGCCTCTAGTTGCCAGGTAACTGCTCTGCATCCAGATAAGCCAGAGATAGCCAGTTTATGGACTCCCTACCGTGAACCAGAAAAGAATTTTTTTTTTCCCCCATTCATACTAAGATTATAAGCGGCCAAGGGTAGCCAGACCTTCACGAGATAAAATAGACTGTAGATCAGAATTCGTGGAGAGAATGCTCCTTGGAGTCTCGGCCTGTCCCGTGTGGTTGGCCTCAACCGTGAGCCCTGGATGGGGGAGCCCCGTGTGTGTGTGTGTGTGCGCACGCGTGGACTCTCACGCCAGGCAGGCTGCTGTGCCAGAGCAAGGCCGAGCCACTGCCCATCCCCCTGGCCTTGCCACCCCTTTCCACCCTGCAGCCCCAACCCCACCTTCAGCTGAGTTCCCCCACTAGAGACTAGAGCAGGTGGCCAGAAAGAAGGCTGTGGGGGCTTCGGATCCAGTAGCCAGGTACCCTGTGACCCGGGGTCCCCCCACAACTACCACTCCCAGAACCCTCAATCCCTAGTGCAGGCTTGCTGGCTGGGACAGGCTACGACCAGAGGCCAGGAAGGGTGGAGAACCCCAACCCTGTCCAGTGCAAGTAACTCCCAAGTCCTGGCCACGGCCTGCCACAAAGGGCAGTGGGCCATAGCAGGGAAGCCGGCCCTGGCTCGCCATGCTGCGTCCCCACGCCCTCAGCCACGCGGAGTTGCATCCTGCCCAGCCTCAGCCAGCTGGAACCAGAGGCCAAGCCGCGAGATCCTTGGGTACCCTAGCCCCTAACTGGAGGCTCAGGCTGGGTGAGACTTGAGTGGTTAAGCCCTGCCCCCCCCCCATCTCTTTCCCCCTAAGGGACCTTCATCAGGCCCTGCACCACACTTTAGGGGTTCTCCGCTAACACCTTCCCTCCAGTCTCTACCTGCTGGCTCCTATGGTCCTGGCGGACTGACCCCAGGAAAGAAGATTTAAAAAAAAAAAAAAATGCCTCGTAGATAAAAGCAGGCTTTGCTTCCAGGGGCAGGGCCTGCTCCCAACCCCAGCGCTTACAACTTCTGGTAGTTAAAGCAGCTAGATCGATTGTTCTAGAAGGTGATTTTGGAGAAAGTCCACCTGCCCTGCACCTCGCCCGGTGAAAGTACCCCGGTATGATATTGCTATTGATCGTGTAACCTTCGGGTGTCACCCTTCTGGCTAACAAAGGGAACCCTCAAACCCCGAGCAACACCCCCTCTCCCCAGCCCATGGCCACCGCTGCCGTACTTCCTATTTCTGTGGTGAGAAGCAGAGAGAAAAAAAAACAAAAAACAAAAAACGGGGTGAAGCCAGGGAAACCGAGGCCCAGGAAGTAGCACCCACCAAGGTGTGTGCAGGTGGGGGGGGGGAGCCTCCTGCCTTGTCGCTGCAGCCCCACCCCAGGAGTGAGGAAGCTAGCAGGTGTGTGCAAATGGAAGGGGGGCCGGGGATGAGGAAAAGGCTTAGGGGTGTTCGTGGGGGCAGCTGGTTTGCTCAAGGCTCGTCTGGCAGAACAGGGGAAGGTGCAGGAGGAGGAGGAGGAGGAGTGGTGGGAGGGAGGGCAGGTGGCAGCAGGGCGGGGCCCAGTGTATAAAGAGGCCCAGCCCGTGGGCCCCTGGGCGGGAGAGCTTGGCCGACGACCCAGCAGGCAGGCAGGCAGGCAGGCAGGCACGCACCAGCTGCTAGGATCCCGATCCAACAAGTGAGTCTTCCCCACTTGAACTTGACTCACGCCGTCTGCCTGCCCGCGTTGAATCCTTCCGTTCCCTCGGGCGAGGCTTGGGTCGCCAGGGGATGGGTGGGTGGGTGGGTGGGAGGGAGGAGAGCCAGGCTGTGGGGATGGCTGTGTCTGCCGCCAACCCCTGGGGTCCTTGTCACTCAAGACACGCACACCCTTCCTTTCCCTACAAGGAGGCCCCGTTGATTGCCTGCAGGTGGCCCGTGACAAGGATCAGCCTGCACCATGAACTTGTGGATCCTAAGCTGCCTGCTGGCCACCATCGTGGGCGCCTGGGTCCCGGCTGTCCACGCCCAAGGTAACGTCTCACACCCTTCCCCTGCAGACCCCTCTCCCTGTCTCCCCTTCGCCCACCCCATCCGGAAGTAACCCCTGCCGCATCCCTGGTCCCCTGGAGTCTGAGAACTTTTGGCCCTGGCATGCATGCTGGAAGTCCTGGTATTACCTACCGCTCCAGTGGCTCCCTTGCCCTGCATCCACCCTACCCCACCCCCGCCCCGGAGACTGTGGGAGGGCCAGAGGGTGGCCTCTGGCTATAGCCACAGCCCCTGGCAGCCAGCCAGGGCACGTCACAGGGTCTCGACCCTACAGACCCTGGCCTGGGCTTAAGGGTCAACGAGCAAGGGAGACCTGTACAACCGGGGCAGTCCCCGTCCGGGCCCTGCCTCCTTCTCTTCCTCCTCCTCCCCTTTTCGTACTAAGTAATCCCATCTGCACAGTGGGGGCACCTACAGTTCCCCCACCCCTCGCATGGGCCAGGCACTAGGCCCCAACGGTACTGCTGGCTTGCATAAGGATTCCTGGCCCCAGCACCCAGCAACGACCCCCTACTGTTGCTAGGGAATGGGAGGGGGGCAGGGCAGGCCCTTGAGGCTATGCCATGTACACCCCCCCACCCCCCCCTCCTGCCCTGGCAATCCCCATCCTCACCCCTACCCCCGACGGGTCCAAGGGGTTCCAACGTTGCTCACGGCAGGATGCAGCCTTTGCCCAGCTTGGGTTGGGCTCTCCTCGCCCTGCCGCCCTGTCTGTGGGAGCCAGACCCAGCCCACCCAGCCCTCCCCCCCCCGCCGCCACATCCCCAATCTCACCCTTTGATCCCCCGGGGAAAGGGGACCTCCAGCCACGGGAAACTACCCAGCCAGGAGCACAGCAGCCCAAGGTCCCAGCCAATGCCACTGCCCCTTGCCCCTAAGAGGCCAAGGTCGGGAGAGGCCACAGCCCTTCCCCTTCCCCCTCCCCTGCCACTGGGCCCCTGGCGGGGTTCAGCCTCGGGGCCCCGGAGGCCCATCTCCCATAGCCAACTTCAGAGGCCAAGGTCACCGTCTCCCCAACTCCTCCCGTGCGTCCCTGCGCACCTCCCTGTCTTTGGGGGTGCTGCACCTACTCCAGACCCCCCACTGCAGTGCTGGGGGCTAAGGACATAAGGTCGGGTGCAGGGGGGTGGTTCTCGTCTTGCCAGGCCGTGGAAGGATCGGTCCCGCGGCCAGCTCAGGGAGGCAGGTGCCGCTGTCTGGGCCCGCGGCTCCGGCTGCAGCCCCCCTCAAAAACACCAGCTCTAACACTTGCAGGCATCTCGGAGGACTGCTGCCTGGCGTACCAGCGCCACCTCAAATGGGCTGTCCTCCGGCACGCCCGGTGCTACCAGCTCCAGGAAGTGAGCGGAAGCTGCAACCTGCGTGCCGTCCGGTGAGCGAGGCCCCGGGACTGTGGCAAGTGGAACCTCCCCCGCCCCCGGCCCGGCCCCCTTACCCTAACCTGGACACCCCGTCATGTCCATCCCACCCGACAGGTTCTGTCTGAAACAGAGAGTCGTGTGTGCGGACCCACGTGAGAAGGCGGTGCAGAGGACCGTGCAGTACCTGAAGGCCCAGAACAAGTCGTGTCTCTCCTCTCAAGTGGACTCATCAGGTGGGTGATTGCATGCCCGTTTGCCTTTTTTTTTTTTTAAGGATTTATTTATTTTTATTACAAAGTCAGATATACAGAGGAGAGACAGAGAGGAAGATCTTCCGTCTGATGATTCACTCCCCAAGTGAGTGCAATGGCCGGTGCTGCGCCGATCCAAAGCCAAGAGCCAGGAACCTGCTGCAGGTCTCCCACGCGGGTGCAGGGTCCCAAGGCTTTGGGCCGTCCTCCACTGCTTTCCCAGGCCACAGGCAGGGAGCTGGATGGGAAGTGGAGCTGCCGGGGCTTCCGCCGGTGTCAAGGGCAGCAGCAGCTTGCCCCTGCGTGTCGCAGTGCCAGCCACCCACGCCCTACACCCCGCCCCCCCCCAGCAGCCTCGAACCAGGTCACCTGCTGATGGCGAGGGATGGAGGACAAGCAAGGACAGCTTCAGGCCTGGCTGGATCCAGGGGCTCCTGGCTCACTTGTATCTCTCTCTGCGCGTCTTCCTTTGGTGACAGGCCATTGTCTTGGAAGAAAGAAGGGGACGTTGAAGTCCCGGCCAACGGCCTCCAAGGTGAACAACTCCAGCAGGCACAAGAGGCGTGCCACCGCCTAGCCTGAGAGCCACAAAGCCCTCGGTAAGGATGCTCGGTCACGTGACCGTCCCCTCCCCATCCCCCGGCGCTCAGGGGGACTGCAGGACCAAGCTCATCACGGGGGGTTGGTGGGTGATGTGTGTGTGTGTGGGGGAGTCCCAAGTACCTGCCCACCTGACAGCCCCCCACCCCCGGAAGTGCTGGGGTGAAGTGCCAGGCAGGCCCAGCCAGCACACCGGGAGCTGCAGAGTTCTCATGGGAATACAGTCATTTTTTTCTTGTCCTCACATCCCGGATACCTGACGTGTCAAGAGTATTTCCCATGCGGCTGCAACGGCCACAGCTGGGCCGGGCCCAAGCCAGGGAGCCTGAGACCCCCTCCTGCAGGTCTCCCACTGGCGTACAGGGGGTCCAAACACTTGGATTATCTGCCACTGCTCTCCCAAGCACGCTAGCAAGGAGCTGGCTGGGAAGCGGAGCAGCGGGGACTCAGACCACTCCGATATGGGATTGCCGGCATTGCGAGTGGCGGCTTATTGCGCCGTGCCACAACGCCAGCCCCCATCCAGTTAGTCCGTTCCTGACACCGGAGCTCCCCGCCACCCGGCTGCCCATAGAGGCGGCCACTTCCACTTCCGGTTCCGGGGCTCTGGCAAACACTTAGGCTCTGAAACGAACCAGAGGGGAGCGAGCCGGGGGGGGGGGGTCCCTGGAGGAGCCCCAAGAGAAAGCAGTTCCTTGTCCCCCGAATTCGGGTTACACCGCGCCCCACCCCACCATGCCCCAGCACTCAGACCACATGGGCCACCAGCCCAGACGCTCCCTTAACACCACAGCTCAGGGCTTTTTCGAGAAGCTTCTTCGTGCCACCACGATCCACCCTCTCGGAGGATGAGAGGCGGGGCCGAAAGCGCCAAAGCGCGCAGCTCTGGGACACACCTGCCCTGGGACCTGTGGGAAATGGCAGAGGCCGCTGCCCGACCTGGGAGCCTCTGGGGCGCGGTGGGGGGAGGGAGGGGAGCCTCCTTCCAGGATGCTCCGAGCGGGCTTATCATGCCAGGGGCCCCGTGCCAGGGGCCCCGTGGGGGGCAGAGGTCAGCGTGCGCGGTGACAGTTACAGCACGGCTCTGCTCCCCGACTCCCCTCTCTCTCACTGCAGGGCCCCCCCCCCCCCCGATCCGGGAATCGATCCGTAACACCGGCACCCCCTCGGCCCTGCCACCCTGCTGCCCCTCAGGCCGCGGGGAGGACAAAGGGAACCCGGGGCCCTAACCGCTGCCAGGGGAACGCTGCCAGCCTGCGATTTCTTATCACCGCCCCAGGGACACCTGCCCCGGGCTTCCTCGGAGTCCTCCTCCTTGCAGAGCCCAGAAGTTCAAAGTCAACGCCGTCCCCTAACCTGGACTTTTTGTTTTTCTCCTTTTTTAAAAAAAAAAAAAACAAAAAACAAAAAACTTAACTTTTCAATAAATCTTTATGGGGGAGGGGGGAAGTTGTCTCTGTTCTCTGTCACGTTCTTGCTTTATCATGGGGTGCACCTGCCGGGGCGGGTGGAGGGTTACATGTGCTTCCCGCCCCCCCAACCCCAGCCGAGGTCTGTTCCTGCTGCCGACCATGAGATTTATTTTTATTATTTTATTTTTATTGGAAAGGCGGATAGACAGAGAGGAAGATCTTCACTCCCCAAGTGAGCACAACGGCCGATCTGAAGCCAGGAGCCTCTTCCAGGTCTCCCACATGGGTGCAGGGTCCCAAAGTCTTGGGCCGTCCTCCACTGCTTTCCCAGGCCACAGGCAGAGAGCTGGAAGGGAAGCAGGGCTGCCGGGATTCGAACCGGCGCCCCTATGGGATCCCGGCGCATTCAAGGCGAGGATTTTAGCTACCAGGCCACCGCACCGGGCCCAAGTTCTGCCTTCTTTGGACGGTGCCCTGCCAGGCTGACTGCTCTCCAGTGATCCCTACCCGGGCAGGGTGGCCACTAGCTGCCCCATCCTTGCCCAGGTTGTTTCACCTCTCCCCCCAAAGCCTCCGTTTTCCCATCCGTGAGATGGGCGGGTGAGGACAAGAGCCTCCTCCCGGGGGGGGGGGGTGGGGGGGGGTCTCATCCCAAACAGGAAGTGGCCCTGCTGGGGGTGGTGGCATCGCCTCTCTAACTTGGCCAAATCAGATACATTCACAGTGCAACATAGCTTTACAGCTGCGTCTGCTTTTGATCTGGCCACACGTTAAAAGTGCCCCGGATAAAAGTCATAAAAGCCCTCGATAAAAGTAGCAAGTGCCCTCAGAAAAGCAAAAAAGTGCCCTCGGACCTCCTGTGCAGACCCTGGAGGTGGCATGGAGAAGGGGGGGGCCGAGGTACACGACCGAGCCTGCCCCCATCCCAGCCATCTAACTCCCCAGTGCTTCGATCCCCAGCCGCTCCCTGAAAGCCCCGCCTGCAGCACAGGCCCGCGATCAACCGCACCCAGTAACCCCAAGGTCCGTAGAGGACCCCCCCTGTGTTAGTTAGACAGCAGCCGCTAGGCCCGGACCCTCAGCCTAGCAGCCCAGGCCTGCGCCACGCTCACCACCAGCAGCCGGTTAGGTGAAGCGCCCGGGCCGCAGCCGCCGCCAACAACAACGGCCCAGGTGCTGCAAGTGAAAGAAGTTAGGGTTAGTGACGGAACAGTAGACCCGGCCTTCCACCCGCTGCAGTGCTGGCCGCAGCTCCAGGATGTCAGCTCCGGGTCCCGGCCTAACAGGTTCATCTTCAAGGTCAGGGGGAACTTCTGAATCAAGAGTAGCCGGGGCTTATCTGGAGGGAAAGGCCAAATGATCAGGGGTTAGGGGCTGAGAGGAACTGCTGTGTGTGTATGCGTGCGGTGGGTACAGGCACTGGGGGTGCGGGAATTCTATTCGGTCCATAAAAGATGGGACGGTTGGGCGTGCAGCATGTGGCCGATGCCCAGGTGGGAAGCAGAGGCAGCCCCCCCAGAACTACCCCCTTCCCTTGGCTGAGCTACCATTCCCCCACCCCCCGAAAAACAGTGCTTGGGCAGACCCAGCCAAGAGGGGGGAACTGTCAGAAAGGCACCCCAAAGTTACTGAGGGATGGTCAGAGCGGGGACCCCCGGTCTGCAGAAGCCAATCCCCCCCCCAAAAAAAGGCTGGCAGGGCTGACACAAGGAGACAAAACAGGCCGGCCAGCTGGGGGCCTGCCAGGGGTGCTTCCGCCGGGCTCCCTGCACCTGTCCGTCTCTGAAGGCCCCCTGTGTGTGTGGACCACAAGCTCCCCTTTATCTGGGCTCCTCAGCACCGCCTTCCGGGGGCCTGGCAGCAGGAGACGGGACCCTCCACAAGCCAATGGCAGGGCTCCGCTGGGGCTGGGCGACACAGAAGGCTTCCTGTCTGTCCTCCTCGGCTCTGGCAGTGCCCTGTGGGCTCCACCTCCTTGGCAGGCTCGGGGACTGCTGCGCTTTGGGATCCAAGCTATTTCCCATTTCCCCAGCCTGGCACGGCGAGGGGCGGGTGTCCTGGGAGAGCTCAGGCCGGGCACTCGGGAGCATGGCACAGATTCCAGTGCTTACTGACGCCTGCTGGTGCTCGGCTGGTATAGCAGGCAAAGGCCCAGGGCGCCTGGCCTTCAGTCACCACCATCATGTTCCCAGAGGGGTCCCATCCAGCTCCCTGCCTGTGGCCTGGGAAAGCAGTGGAGGACGGCCCAGGGCCTTGGGACCCTGCACCCGTGTGGGAGACCCGGAAGAAGCTCCTGGCTCCCAGCCTGGTGTCTGTCACCAGCTCTGAGAAGAGGAGAGGGGTCCAGGGCCCGCCCCCAAGGGCATTATGGGGCTGAGTCTATTCTGGGAGCCACAAGTGGACTCTGCAACCCAGAGGGTTTTTTTGTTTTGTTTTGTTTTGTTTTTTCTTGTGGGGTGGGAAGCCCTTGCTTGACCTCCTTCCCAGCTTCCACCCGTCCCCGTGCTAGCTGCTATGCCCACCCACTGCATCCTCCCCACCACCACCAATTCCCGCCTCCCGAGGCACCTGCCGGCTCCCCGTGTGTGCCAGGCCGGTCCCGGGCGCTAGTCCGCTGGTCTTTCATTCATAGCAGGATTCGGGAGACAGCGGTTCCCGCTCACCATCGTTGGCTGGGACATCCTCGGATCCTGAGCTGAGACTCCGGCCGGAGACTCAGGGCCTGCGGATGGGTCTTCCTTCAGGGACAGCGTGGCAGGGATCCCCTCACCCCCAACCACCACCACCACCACCACCATCACCACCACCTCCCCTGTCCACTCCTAAGGGTTCCCCCGGAGGCTCTCACCCTCATCCAATCCAGAAGTAGCCTCTTGGGCAGCCACACAGGACGCCTCCTGGTGTGTTGGCCCAGCCACGGCTGCAGGGGCTGCTGGGTCCTGCACACTCCTCTGTGTCCCGGCAGCCTCCTCGGGCCCCGTCAAAGCCGGAGGGGTAGACGCAGTGGCGAGGGATTCTCCCGCAGGGGACGGGGAACAAGACACACTCATTGTCATTTGTGTGTCTATGTCAGGGGACGGGGGAGGCGGGGGCGGATACTCGTAATCTTCTTGCATCTCTACTCCTAATCAGAGGTCAAAGTTAGCATCTTCCTGGCAGGCTCGGCCTGACCCCCTACTCTACCCATGCCCAGCCCCATGTCTGCCATCCCTCCTCTTTCCCCCACCTCTGCCCTCCCCACCCTCAACGCTGCCAACATCCCTGCTCGTCTAAGGGGGCTGCCTGCACAACTACAAGGGTGCTAGGTGGCACCCCATCCAGGCCACTGGCATTCACACGCTCCCTGGTCCTGCTACTCCAGTGGGGCAAAAGGAGACCCCCGCGTGGGGACCCCTAAGTAGGCAGGCTTCGGCCTAGAGGTCATGACCACCACAACCCACATTCACAGGGCCTCCATTTCAAGGGCTGCCTCCCTCTGCTGCTGATGCACCTGCCCAGGCCCTTGCCAACCCTCATCGGTGGCATGGAGATCCCGGCACCTGGCTGTGACTGGCCCAGCCCTGGCGGCTGTGGGGCCATGAGCCAGCAGGTGGAAGATATGCCTGCTTGGCTGTCTCTTTATACTAGAATTTGAGAAGGTTCATTGCTCACCCAGCTCCTGGCTACTTTCTAACAGAGCTTAGCACAGGCAGGCTGTCACAGACAACGGAGGGAAGATCGAGACGGAGACAGGATGAGGGGGCAGAGCAAGCAGCGCCCAAGAGCAAGAGAGCAGTGAGGACCTGGTCACGGAGGAAGACAGCAGCCAGGAGGGGCCCTGCCGTGGCACCCCAGAGGGATAGAAGCCAAAAGGGAGAGGTCTCAGGACAGCCAAGTGCGCCTGGCTGGGTAGGAGATGAAAGCTGGACTGTCAGGGAGAAAAAGAGAGAGAAACGGAAAAAAATGAGCCCTACAGCCAGGAAGACCTGGGGCTTCAGGAAGATGGCATAGACTGGGGAGCTGGAGGGAAGTGGGCAGAAGCGGACTCCCCGGATGGAGGACCCCTGCAACCGCTACAGTGAGATGGAGGATGTGGGTGCCGCCCAGCCCACCCGCTGCTGAGCCAGTCGCAGCACACCCTGGACCACTCCGGACAGACAGCGCTAGTGAGTCACAGCCAGGCTGATCTCGGTCACCTTGCCGGGTGGTGACCCCCCCTTCCCTCTGTGTAACGTCTGAGAGTGAGAGACGGGGCGGTACGTGGGGCTGCCCTTTCTCCCCACCCCACCCCAGCCTCAGGCGCCACCCCACAAACCTGGCCTCCTACCTACCTTCATAACCATCGAAGTCGCTCGGCTGGAAACCCTGGGGGGCCTCACAGCGGAAAGTGCCCAGGGTGTTGTAACAGCGGGCGTAGGGACCACACAGGCCGGGCTGGACCAAGCACTCATTAAGGTCTGCAGGACAAGGGCAGGGTTGCCTGGGGGTTAGTGCCGGGGGGCGGGGGGGAGGCTGCAGGGAGACGCCTTATTGGTTCCCTCTGTCCTCTTAAAACAGGCTGTCGGAATCATCTAGAAGCTGTGACGGCCCAAGGTGACCCACCTGCCCGCGCTGTGCCTCAGTTTCCCCTGCTGTCACACCTAGAGGCTAATAAGCAATGCAGGGTGAGAATGAACTAAAGCTTGGCCTTGGCACATAGCTTGTGGTAGGGATGCAACATGGGCACCTGTTGAGCTAGGTCCTCGTGGGTCCCAACAAAGTGACACACCTCCACGCCCTAACTCCCGGTGGGATTTTTTTTTTTTTTAAATCCCCAAAGCTTTACGTTCGGAGCTGGTGGTGTGGTGTAGAGGGTTAAACCACTGACTTGCGATGCTAGCGTCCCATATCGGAACACTGGTTCAAGTCCCGGCTGTTCCACTTGCGATCCAGCTCCCTGCTAATGTACTTGGCAAAGCCGCAGGTGCTGGCCTAAGTGCTGGGGGGTCCCTGCACCCACACACACGGGAGACCTGGAGGAAGCTCCTGGCTCCTGGCTCCTTGGGGAGTGAACCAGCATCTCTCTCTCTTTCAAATAATCTTTGTTAAGAAAAAGAGTCTACTCAGCCTTTGTCATGCAACATTAGCGCCAGATAATGGGGTCCACAGGTGGATGTGGGCGCAGACCAACACAACTTTATTAAAAAAAGCAAGCGGAGGGCCAGACCTGACTGGCAGACCACCACCAGTCAGCCGTCCTCCGATGGGGCGATTACCAGCACCCAGTATGGCTCAGGGGGTGCTGACTGAGTTGATTAAGGTTGGGGGGGGTGGCCCGGAAGGGGTCATGTCTTGAAGGGAAGTCTGTTTCCCTGGAAGGCCACGATGGGAGTTTGACGCTTGAACCAAATTTTCCTGTTGGACTGTGAGAGCCTCCTGGGATTTGGGGGAGCATTCCGGGGAGGCACCCCCGAGAGGTCAGACAAAAGGTGGGGGTGGCGCATGTCCTGGACGGAAATCAGCTCGGGGTGGGATACCCAGCTCCTGGAGCAGGAAAGTGGAGAATGTTCTAGATGTCCTCTTGTCCCTCCCAAGGACCGTGTCCCCCCACATCCAGCACGTACTGGAAATCAAGAGGCTTCTTGGCTAAACTAACAAGAGAGAACCAGGGTGGGGTGGTGCTCGGGAGGGGTCACCGAAGCAGCCATTGCGCTGCTGGATAAAGCCGGGCGGGCAGCGGCAAACGAAGGCACCCAGGGTGTTGACACAGCGGAACTGGCAGTTGTGTTGGCGGGACGAGCATTCGTCCAGATCTGCAATGCACACAGCCCCGGGGACGGCTCAGACCAGGGTCCGAGGAACGGCCAGAGAGGCTGCAGACAGGAAGTGGCAGCAGGGGACCAGGGGGGAAGCAGGGAGGGCGGGATGAAGTTCGGCTGTCACCTGCACAGCTCCTTCCATCTTCCTGCAGGCGGTAGCCGCGGGGGCAGCTGCACAAGAAGCTGCCCGCCGTGTTTTTGCACAAAGAGGAGCACGGGGCCGGGGCCTGACTGCACTCGTCCACATCTGGAAAGGGGGACGGTGGGAGAAGGGAGGAACGCGGTCACGTGGATATTCCCTGCTAAGGATGCTCAGGAGCGACAGCAGGGCGCTGGATGGGGAAGCGGAGCAGCTGGGACTCAACCCTGGGCATCCTGCTATAGGAGGAGGATGCAGGGAAACGTCCCCAGGGTACTGGGGAAGCTGGAGCCAGGCGGGCCCGGCCACCACTCACCCTGGCAGCTGGTCGCGGCGGCATCTGGCGCATACCCGGCCTGGCAGTAGCAGCGGAAGGATCCAATGCTATTGATGCACTCACCGTGAGGACACAGGCCGGGGAGCACCTGACACTCGTCCACATCTGGAGACCAGCGGAAGGGGTGGCTGTGTGGCTGAGGCCAACAGGCCACGCCTCCCTCCTCAGCCTCCTCACCCTCCCTACAGGCCCAGCAGGTGGAGGCCTCGCCCACAAGATACTCTCACACCCACACACACACACACACACACACACACACACAGAATGGCTCACCACAACCAGAGTCATGATGCCCACAGGGCGAACGGGAGGAAGCGGGGCACTCACTCACCTCGGCCTTGCACAGTGTAGCCCAGGCCATAAGGGCACAACTCCCTGTGGGCAGGAGTGCCCGGCAGGGGGCACAGCTCACAGAGGGGTCCCCAGGCCCGGCCGCCCACACAGCAGCACACGGCCCTGGATACGCGCCTCAATGCTGGGTCTGGATGCTGGGCCTGGCATGCGCCCTGCAGCACCTCAGAGAAGCAGGCTCCTTGCCGTCCGTCTGTTACAGAAGAGGAGTGAGTGGCAGAGAGAGATGCCAGCCGCTGTGGTGGGGCAGGGTCGCCGTCACCTGACCCTGACCGGGCTGCAGCCCTAGGGGTCATGGGCCATGCCCTGTGGGCCACTAAAAGACACAGCCCAGGGACAGTAGGAATCAGACAGGTTGTCATGGACAAAGGGTGAGAGCAGCAGGTGGACTGGCGGGAAGGATGGCCATGGACCCGTCCAGGAGGGTAGCTTTAAACTCGCTTAGGGCAGTATTCTAAGTGCATCTGTGCGCGTGCGTGGTGAGTAACCCAGCTCAGCCGCCCCCTCCCCAACACCCTGCCTGTGCATGGAGGAGCTCCTGGGCTGCCAGAAGGGGTGGACGGGTGGGCAGCTCTCACCATGGCATTCGGTGAAGGTGGGGCTGGGCTGGAAACCGGCATCGCAGTCGCATCGGAAGCTGCCCACCGTGTTGACGCAGCGGCCGTGGGCGCACAGGCTAGGCTGCGTAAAGCATTCATCCTCATCTGGATGTGGGAGGGGCAGGGTTAAGAGAAGGGCAGGCTGGTGGTGTCCCCGGAGCTGTCCCCTTGAGCGTTCCCAGCCCTAGCCCCTTGTTTGATGTCCCTCTCTTTCTCCCACTTCCTGTGGGTTTCCCTGCACCCTCCATGTCTTACCTATGCAGCCCTGGCCGGGACCGGGCTGAGGACGCAGACCGGGGGGACAGACGCAGGCAAAGGCCCCGATGAGGTTCTTACACAGCATGCCGCGGGCGTGGCAGTCCTGTCTTCCACCTGCACACTCGTCCACATCTTGGGATGATGACCAGGGTCAGTCAGTGGCCCAAGGCCGGGTACCCCAGCATCCCACCCCCAGCATCCAGCAGTTTGGCCAGACACCTGCTTTTCCCACCAGCTTCAGTGGAGGCCGAGAACCATTCTCTACCACCTTCCTCAGGGCAGGTGCATCTGTCTTAAATGCCCTGGGGAGCTGGCGCCAGCCCAGGACACTGCGGCTATCTGGAGGGCTGGAGGAAGGGCTGTTTACTCAGCTGTGTCTAGAGTCCCTGGCCACTCAGTGCCACCACCTTGCGTGTCCTTGCTGCCCACTCCTGCCCCTGGTGGCTCAGGCTGCCATTTCTGCATTTGAAAGGAAGCCGTGAGGTCTCCAGGGCTGGAGATTTTTTTTTCCTGAAACTCAGGCCAGGGAGTCCCAAGAATCCTGCTTGTTTCAACCCTCTCTCACCGTGCCCTGCCAGGCCCACCTCGGCACGTGGCCCCATCGTTCCGCAGAACATAGCCGGCCGGGCAGGTGCACCGGTAGGAGCCTTCGGTGTTGTGGCAGCGGAAGGCGCAGAGCCGCGGGTTCAGGGAACACTCGTTGATGTCTGTGGAGGTTCCAGCTGGGTGAGGGTTGCATGCAGGATCCCACACCCCCAGCACCCCACTTCTACCCCAGGCCGGACCTCAGGTGACCCTGCGGGCGCAAATGAATACTTGACAGGAGCAGCTAAATGAATAAAGAAATAAGTTAAATGAATTTGTGAGTAACTGAATGAAAAACCAAGGGAGCCAATGGGGGAACAAGTGAGTGAAGGCAGATTCGAATGAGGAATGTCGGGGGACGTGCAAAAACGGACAAGTGAACTGCGCCACGCAGTTGGTGCTGGCCGAGTCCAGGCTGCGGCCGAGGGGACAGCCACAGCGGAAGGAGCCCTCTGTGTTGACACGGAGGCTGCTAGTGCACACGCTGGGCTTCTCTGTGCACATCTGGGATCGAGGGTTGGGCCGCCAGGGTTGTAGGTATTGTGCGTGTCACTGTACAGGCTCCAGGGCCACCCATGGGTCCTGTGGCAGGGGACAACCTGAAACCCACACGTATGATAGGGGGGCCGAGGGACTCATCTTCCAGAGATTCAGTCAGGCCTGGGACTGCCTCATGGCCAATGGGACAGTGTTCCTAAAAGCCAGCTAGATGTGAGGGGGAGGGAAGGGGGCAGTCAGTGGCAGGGGACAGAGGGCTGGGTGTGGGCAGTGTAGGGGTGCAGAGAGCTGGGTGTGGGAGTGTAGGGGGGCAGAGAGCTGGGTGTGGGAGTGTAGGGGTGCAGAGAGCTGGGTGTGGGCAGTGTAGGGGTGCAGAGAGCTGGGTGTGGGGAGTGTAGGGGGGCAGAGAGCTGGGTGTGGGGGTGTAGGGGTGCAGAGAGCTGGGTGTGGGAGTGTAGGGGGGCAGAGAGCTGGGTGTGGGAGTGTAGGGGGGCAGAGAGCTGGGTGTGGGAGTGTAGGGGGGCAGAGAGCTGGGTGTGGGGGTGTAGGGTGCAGAGAGCTGGGTGTGGGCAGTGTAGGGGTGCAGAGAGCTGGGTGTGGGGAGTGTAGGGGGGCAGAGAGCTGGGTGTGGGAGTGTAGGGGGGCAGAGAGCTGGGTGTGGGAGTGTAGGGGGGCAGAGAGCTGGGTGTGGGGAGTGTAGGGGGCTGGGTGTGGGGAGTGTAGGGGGCTGGGTGTGGGGAGTGTAGGGGGCTGGGTGTGGGGAGTGTAGGGGGGCAGAGAGCTGGGTGTGGGGAGTGTAGGCGGGCAGAGAGCTGGATGTGGGGGAGTGTAGGGGGGCAGAGAGCTGGGTGTGGGCAGTGTAGGGGGGCAGAGAGCTGGGTGTGGGCAGTGTAGGGGGGCAGAGAGCTGGGTGTGGGGTGTAGGGGCTGGGTGTGGGAGTGTAGGGGGCAGAGAGCTGGGTGTGGGGGTGTAGGGGGCTGGGTGTGGGGAGTGTAGGGGTGCAGAGAGCTGGGTGTAGGAGTGTAGGGGGGCAGAGAGCTGGGTGTGGGGGTGTAGGGGTGCAGAGAGCTGGGTGTGGGAGTGTAGGGGGGCAGAGAGCTGGGTGTGGGGGTGTAGGCGGGGAGAGTCAGCAGCAGGTGCAGTCCCCAGCATAAGGAGAGGGAAGGGTGTGTGTGACAGCAGAGGGCGCTGTATGGGGAGGTGAGGGGAGGTACCGGGGAGGGGAAAGAGTAGCAGGGCACTCACTGCTGCCCTCCTGAGGACGTAACTTGCAGGGGTCACCCGAGCCCTTCCCCAGCGTCTTGCTACAGCGGGGTCTCGGAGGTATTGAATGGTTTAGGCGTGGAGCAGCTGTGAGCCTCATAATGAAAGACGCTAAGGTTCTGTGTGTGTGTGTGTGTGTGTGTGTGTGTGTGTGTGTGTGTGTGTGTGTGTGTGTGTTTGTGTGTGTCGGGGAGTAGGGGTGTTAAGGTGATCCAGGCACCCCAGTGCTGGCCAATGAGCAGAGCTGACCCCACCAAGAATCCCCACCCCATCAGAATATGCCACGCCCCTCAGGCACGGTGACTGGCTCAGAGGCGGACGCGTTATCCATGCTGGACCCATGGGGATCAGCCCTAGAAATCCCTTTCCCCTACTGTTACGGGGGACCCCTTCCTTGGCCTGAGGAGGAAAGTCACCCTAAGTTCACAGCTCTGCTTCCTTCACGGACAGGCAAAGCTGCAGTGTCCTAACTCTCAGACCCCAAACTCTTAAAACCTCTGCCCCAGCAAGACTTCCATCCAACTGACGTGGCCTCAGGGGTGGAATGGTGTATGACCCACGCAAATTCCCTGTGGCTCTAGCTGCCAAGGCTAGCCCTCACTGGATGAGGCTAGCCCAGCGGAGCTGTACCTGCCTCCCCTCTGTCTGCCTGAAGCTCCACCCAGAAGCAGGGCGTCTGCAAGCACTAGTCAGTGTCTGCAGGGAAGGGACATGGACAGGGGACCAAGGTGGAGGTCGGTTCTCTATCGGCCGCAAGGAGAGCGGACGGAGTGGAGCCACCGCACCAGGTGGGTTGTGTGTGTGAATGAACGGTCTCGCCCAGGAGGCCTCTCCGAACTAGAGCTGACACCCATCCCTTTCACCTGCACAGGATGGAGCTGGTTTGCACAGCTCTAGGCTAGCCCAGACACAGAGGCAAAGCCAGACTGGTCCAGGTTAGCCCACACTATTCAAGACTTGCCCACACAGATGCCAGGTCAGACGGGTCTTTGCCCACCACTTCCCAGGTTCTATCTTGGGAGACCCCCACATCCATGCTCATTTTGGTGGGCTCGTGAGGAAGTTTGGGGGTTCCCGAGAGAGAATTTAAGGCCAGAAAGTTGTGCACGGAGCGGTTCAACGCCAGGATTCTGACTGCCTGGGGGTGTTAGAGGGAGCAGCCCCAGAGCCATGAAGTCTGGTGGGGGCAGATGCAGTGGAAGTGCCCAAGGTTGTGGCACATGCCATGGGTTGGGGGAAGGCACTCATCGGTGGCTGTAGAGAGGAGGGAACAGGGCAATCTCAGTGTCAGCCAGGGCGGTCACTGTGGCAATGCCCAGGGCTCCAGGGCTGCCTCAGGCCAATAGGGATGAGCAGGGAAAAATTCATTGGGGCGGGCAGGGTTGTAGGTGGACCAGAACAAGAGCAAGACCCTAACCTCCAGTGGCTTGGGTGCTTCCTCACCTCGCCATGGATTCCCACGGCACCCTTCTGCACTCTGAGAAAAGTCAACACTTGCTAAGACATCCCCACTCTGCAGAGCCCGTGAAAATATAGACACGCTGTGTTGGTTTAACACACGGGCTGGAAACACAGCCACATGGTACCCCTAAAGGGGAGAGGGTACAGGTGGCTCCCAGCACTGTGCCAAGACTCACCCACACAGCTCCTTCTGTCTGCAGCCAGCTGGAAGCCATCCTGACACACGCATTGAAAGAAACCAGCCGTGTGGTGGCACTGGCCAGGGTGGCACATCTGACCTGGTAGGTGGGCGCATTCGTTGGCGTCTGTAGGGGAGAGATGGGGAGGTGTGGTCAGTCATCCACAACTTAGCTCCATGACAATGGATTTGTGCTCCGTGTGTGGTCAGTTAGCAGACTCTAAGCAAGAGACCTCCTGCCACCATTCTACAAGGCAGACACCAGTCTTTTCCCAGCATGGCCACTTAAGGCTATGAATTTGCCCCTTGAGCGCTACTGGCTGAACCCCTCAAATTTTAAAAGTATTATCGTTCCACTTTAAAAAAAAAAAGCCTTGATTTTTCTTGTCATTTTCTCTTTGACCTAGCCGAGAACTTCCTCCGATTGCTTTACATTCTGAGGGTTTACCTTGAAATTTGAGAAAGTTTATTTGAAGGCCCAGAAGAGGCTCCTCCTTGACAAGCATCCTCGGGCCCCTGCAGAGCAGGTGCGTTCTAGAAGGTTCTGTGACTATCCATTCCGCCTGAGGCAGCTGACAGGATGCCAGCCTCCCATATCCTTAGAGGTTTTTCTATTTGTTGTCTTTGTTGCGGAGAGCACACGGAAGGTTGCCACCGGGGACTATGGATGTGTCTACTTCACTTTCTTTTTTCATCCTGTTGATGTTTACATCACAGACCTTTGGGCTCGTGTATTGGGATGGATATCAATTGTCGATGCCTTCTTGGAGACTTGAACCTTTGACACAGCATCTCTGCTTTTATGTTAATAAAGTGTGTGTGATCTGATGTCTGGTTTGGTGATTGTTTTTTATTAATCCTGCTTCTACAGCTGGTACAATTACATGATTTAGCTGGCAGGTGTCACAGGTGGGATTTGAACTCATACTGGCCACTGCAAGAATATGGGGAACTCTGCGGCTGACTCATTTGCAAAGGTCCCCCCAAGCCCTCAAGCTTGTTTTCCCAATGGGAGCTCTGGGTCACCGTGCTTGGCAGTGACAGGCCACCGAGGCCTGCCCACCCCAGCCAGCTGGCCCATCCACCCAATCCCCAGGTGGGTGTTTCCACAAAGCCAGGTGGCTAGGAGCTCGCCCCGTGTTCCTGCAGGTCCCGTTTCTATATGACAAGTCGCTCACGCTGGCTGACACTTGATGGTACTGTAAACACCTCCGTCCACCCCAGCTGCCCAGCTCCCTGACCACTACTGACCAGCTGGCTCCGTAGTGACCCCTAGCGGTGAAGGTTGGACTAAGTCACTGCCCGTATATTCCATTTTACAGATTCACAGATTAGCAGGCTTATAGACACCATTTTACAAATCAGCAGATGGAGGCGTGGCAAAACCAGGAAGTCATCTACTTAACTTCTTAGTGCCGGGACTCAAACGTGGGTCTGTCTGAATGCAAGCAGGGACACACAGCAACCTAACAGGGCAGAGGAGTGGAACTCAGACAGCCTGGCCTGATGGGGAGGGGGCAGGTGCAGGAAGAAGGTACCAAGTGGTTTCCACGGAAAAACAGCAAGGAGCAGTCTAGCACAAGGCCATTCCTATTTTAAATAAACGGCCTCCCCGGTCAGCCTCTGTCAAAAGTGTGCTGTTTATTTATTTTTGATTTTATCCACTTGAAAGGCAGAGAAAGAGAGAATGCTTCACTATGGCTACTATGACTGGGGCCAGACCAGGACAAAGCCAGAAGCCAAGTACTCCATCCAGGTATTCTGTGCAGATGGCAGAGGCCCGAGAGTTTGGGCTGTCACTGGCTGCCGCCCAGGCGCACTAGCAGGGAGCCAGATTGGAACCAGATCCTCAGATGCAAGATACAGGAAACTGAACTCTTGCATCAAATACCTGCTCTGGTTCCTCCCTTCCAGTTTGAAACTCTAGGTTTCTTTCAAGACTTGTTTTATGCATTTAAAATACAAAGTAGGGCCCAGCGGCGTGACCTAGCGGCTAAAGTCCTTGCCTTGAACGTGCTGGAATCCCATAGGGACCCTGGTTCTAATCCCGGCAGCCCCTCTTCCCATCCAGCTCCCTGCCTGTGGCCTGAGAAAGCAGTGGAGGACGGCCCAAAGCCTTGGGACCCTGCACCCACGTGTGTGATACCCGGAAGAAGTTCCTGGCTCCTGGCTTCAGATCGGCATATCATCGGCCGTTGCGCTCACCTGGGGAGTGAATCATCGGATGGAAGATCTTCCTCTCTGTCTCTCCTCCTCTCTGTATATCTGACTTTCTAATAAATAAATAAATCTTTTAAAAAAAATACAAAGTGGGGCCCGGCGCGGTGGCGCAAGTGGTTAAAGGTCCTCGCCTTGCCGCCCAGGATCCCATATGGGTGCTGGTTCTAATCCCGGCAGCCCCGCTTCCCTTCCAGCTCCCTGCCTGTGGCCTGGGAAAGCAGTAGAAGATGGCCCAAAACTTTGGGGGAGTCCTGCACCCCCGTGGGAGACCCAGAAGAGGCTCCTGGCTTCAGATGGGCTCAGCTCTGGCTATTGTGGCCACTTGGGGAGTGAACCAGTGGATGGAGGATCTTTCTGTCTCTATGTGCCTTTCCAATAAGAATAAATAAATCTTAAACAAATAATAATAAGAAGAATAAGAATAATATTCTGTATCCCGGCTCAGGAACCTTGAACAAGCCTTGGGATGGGGGCCATGCCGGGCGCTGTCAGTTTCTAGTTGGCTTCCTGGTGTCAGCTTCAAGCCCTGATCCGTGGAATTGGTGCTTGCGACCTCTTACTTAACAATCAGAGTCTGACAGAGTCTGACAGAGGATGTGGCCGTATTGCAGCATCCACATCTGACAGGTGCGACATACGTTCCCCAACCCACCTTGCTGCTTGCTGATCATACCTGGGATTTAGACAAGCCAGCAGGTGCATGGTTGGTGGCTTAGCAAGTGCAGGAAGCGGATCCCCCAAGCCCTGCCTCACACACACTTTGGGGGCCACTGCTGCAGATGCTCAGGGTCCCCCTGACGGCTCCAGGCAACCCAGACACACTCTGCTTGCACTCTCTCTTGAGATCTCAGCATGCACTGAGGCTGTGACCATCCACTCAAGGGAGGGGGCTGGGCGGACCTCATGCGGGTGGCCTCTGGGCTCCCAGCACCTGTGCTGCCACCTCCACCTCCGCTACAGGCTGCGGGGGGCTCAGATTACTGGAGCAGCTGCTGGTCCTCTCCCTACACTGCATAGCTCAGCCTGTGGCGGCAAGCGAGGGTTCCCCTGGGGTATCAACAGCTGCCACGGGGTGTCAGGTCAGACTTACTCCCACCTGGAGGTAGAGCTGGCTGGCAGCGAGGGTTGAGGGCCAGAGGAGAGTCAGCCAGCAGCTCCCCTGAAGATACTGGCTTTTGCAAGGTCAATTTTTTTTTTTTTCTGATGGGTTTGGCAGGTACAGAAGAAAAAAAAAAAAACAAAAATAAAGAATACGCTGCCTCATTCCTCACCACATGCCTGAGATGCCAGGGCTGGGCTAGGGCTGGGTTAGGCGGTAGGGACTCAAGAATTTGAGCTAACGTCTGCTGGCTCCGGGAGCGGAACCATGTTCCCCCATTTTTTTTTTTCTTAAGATTTACATGGTTTCTTTTTAATTTTCATTGGAAAGGCTGATCTACAGAGAGGAGACAGAAAGATCTTCTGCCCTCCAGCCCAATGCTTTGGGATTCTGCACCCCGTGTGGGAGATCTGGAGGAGGTTCCTGGCTCCTGGCTCCGGATCGGCACAGCACCGGCCGTTGCGGTCACTTGAGGAGTGAATCATCGGATGGAAGATCTTCCTCTCTGTCTCTCCTCCTCTCCGTATATCTGACTTTGCAATAAAAATAAATAAATCTTTAAAAAAAAAAGATCTTCTGGGCCCGGCGCGGTGGCGCAAGTGGTTAAGTCCTCGCCTTGCACGCCCGGGATCCCATATGGGCGCCGGTTCTAATCCCGGCAGCCCCGCTTCCCTTCCAGCTCCCTGCCTGTGGCCTGGGAAGGCAGTTGAGGACGGCCCAAAGCTTTGGGACCCTGCACCCGCGTGGGAGACCCGGAAGAGGCTCCTGGCTTCGGATCGGCATAGTATCGACCCGTTGCGGCTCACTTGGGGAGTGAATCATCGGATGGAAGATCTTCCTCTCTGTATCTCCTCTCTGTATATCCGCCTTTCCAATGAAAAAATAATAAAAATAAATCTTTAAAAAAAAAAAAAAAAAAAAAAGATCTTCTGTCTCATGCCCCCACATGGCTGCAATGGCGGATGCAGATCAGCAGTCCAGAGCTTCTTCCGGGTCTCTCACACGGGTACAGGGGTCCCAAGCCAGGGGGTCATGTTGGACTGCTTTCCCAGGCCACAGGCAGGGAGCTGGATGGGAAGTGGAGCAGCTGGGACTCGAACTAGCGATTACATGGGATCCCGGCACACGCAAGGCGAGGATTTCAATGATCGGGACACATTAGGCTCAGTGGCCAGCCCTGTCGTAGTTGGGTCCCGTCCTCCCCTAGGACTGAGTTTGGATCGAGTTTCTGACTCCAGCGATCAAGATGAAAACCCCGGGGTGGGGGGGGTACACAGTGCCTGCTCAACTCTCAGTGTGGGGGAGCCATGCCTGCGTGGATCCGCAGGACACCCCCCCCCCCGCAGCCCCTCAGGCCACGCGGTGGCCCCTCTCCCCACCCCCCATGGCCACCCTCCTTTCCACCGCCACCCCCAGCTCGCAGTCCTGGCCGCCCGCTGCTCACCCACACAAGCTGTCAGGTCCTGCGTGGCCATGAAGCCTTCCGGGCACACGCAACTGATGCACTGGCTTGGTCCACAGATGTCAGGATCCTCCTCGCATTCATCTATGTCTGGGGCGGCAGAGAGAAAGGGCTACAGGTGTCTGGATTGAGCGCACCGCACCACCAGGCAGAGACTGGCGCTCCATACCGGCCAACACCCCAGGATCCCCAGCAAACACCGGACAGGGCCAGGCACCCCAGGATCCTCACACCGCCAGGGCCACCCTGCACCGCCAGGCACGGGGAGCGGCCTCGCACCCCAGGCCCCCACACTCTGGCCAACACCCCAGGGTCCCCAGCACCCACCGGACAGGGCCAGGCACCCCTGGATCCCCACACCGCCAGGGCCACCCTGCACTGCCAGGCACGGGGAGCGGCCTCGCACCCCAGCGCCCTGCGCAACAGGCAACATCCCAGAGTCCCCCACACCGATCAGGCAAGTGCAGGGACCCTCGCACCCACCTATACACACTTGCCCGTCCGCCATTAAGGCGCAGCACCCGTGCAGCCGCACGGGGAACTGCCCGGGTACTGATGTAGCGTGGCTCAACCTCTGTTCCGCACGCGGAATTTATCCACGTCTGGCATGGGGGGCGGGCAGAGGGTGAGGCATGTGCGCGCACGTGTAAGCAACCACACACACGTGGGGCACGGACACGCACAGAGAGGTATGCTAGCACACACAGAGGTGCGCACGCACGCTGGGGCGGCACGCACGCATGGGTAGGCGGGGTCCTGGCGCTGGACGGGGCCGGAGCTCACCTGTGCAGCCCCCACATTCAGGGTTGATGCGGAAGCCGGCAGCGCAGGTGCAATGGTAGGTGCCAGTGACATTGACGCAATGGCCGTGTGGACACAGACCGTCGTTCAGCGATCACTCGTCCACACCCATTCACACTGCTGCCACGCATCTTCCACACACACGCTCCCCCACGCACGCCGTGTCCTCGGCTGCCAGCATGTGCCCAGGGGGACAGTGGCACTCCTATTGCAGGAAGCCTGGAGGGCCTGTCCCCTCCCTGCCTCGCCCTCAAGGCGGACAGCAAACAGGTGGCTTCATTGCCTGCCTCTCCCCAGGAAGGGCAACCTGGTGGCCCTTGGTCAGGTCACCCCAGGGCCACTGTGATGTGATGGGTTAAGCTGTGGCCGGTGTCACCTGCATCCCATGGAAATGCCAGTTCGAATCCCGGTTACTCCACTGCCAATCTGGCTCCCTGCTAGTGCCCTGGGAAGGTAGCCGAGGATGGTGGCCAGTGCCACTCACGTGGGAGACCCGGATGGAGCTCCAGGCTCCTGGCCTGGGTACGACCCAGTCATTGGAGAAGCAAGCCAGCAAAGGAGGACCTCCCCATGTCCGCCCCCTGCGCCCATGTCCATCCACCCAGTAGCGTTCACTTGCCACACACTCCCCCCGCCAGCCGCCTACCCACACAGCTCTTCGAGACACCGGGGCTGCTGGCGTAACCATGGAAACACTCGCACTCAAAACCGCCAGGGGTGTTGACGCAGGTGCCCTGGCCACAGAGGTCAGGAGAGATGTGACACTCGTCAATGTCTGTGGGGGAAGATGGGGTGGGGTGGGGGACACGGGCTGGGGTCTGGGTGTCCGGCAGGACAGGTCACGCAGCACACAGGTAGACAAGAGACGCATCCCAAGAACAGCCCTTCGGCGCAGGTGCCTGGCGCTGTGGCACCCACATCCCACAGCAGGGTCCTGGCTCCCTGCTCCCACTGAGGCACATCCTGGGAAGCAGCAAGGCAGGGGGGGGGGGCATCCAGGGAGAAGCCGCTGGCACAGGAGCAATGGAAGCTGCCCACCGTGTTGTAGCAGGTGCCATGCGCACAGAGGTCTGGGAGGGTCTTGCACTCATTCACATCTGTATCGGGAGGGGGCATAACACAGCTGCCAGCTATCAGCCAACAACACCCCGAGGCCCTGGGTCAGGGGTGGGGAAGTGTTTCCTTTCCCCGCCCCCACCTACCAAGGCACATCATCCATTGGCCACTCAAAAGGACCATTTGTTGTTGTTGTTCTTTGTTTTGTTTGAGGACCAGGTTTTTTCAAAACCTGGGGTCACCATTTGCAATGCCTGCAGCCCATACAGGGCTCTGCTTCCTGCCCTGGGCTGCTCCATTTGCTAACAAGCTCTCTGCAAAGGCGCCTGGGAAAGCAGCGGAGGACGGCCAAGGTCTTGGACCCCTGCCACCCACGTGGGAGACCTGGATGGAATTTCAGCTTCAGGCAGACCTGGCCCAGGGCTGTTGAGGCCATGTGGGGCGTGAACCAACAGCGAGAAGATCTTTGTCTCTCTCTCTCTCTCCTCTTTGCCCTCCTCTGTTGATAATCTGCTTTCCAAACAAACACATCTTTAAAAAAAAAAAGTCTGGCATCTCATATGAATACCAGGTTCAGCTGCTCCACTTCCCATCCAGCTCCCTGCTGGTAGCCTGGGAAAGCAGGGTAGGACGGTCCAAAGCCTTGGGATCCTGCGCCCATGTGGGAGACCTGGAGGAAGCTCCTGGCTCCTGGCTTCGGGTGGGCTCAACTCCTGCCATTGCGGCCATTTGGGGAGAGAGTTATTCCTCTCTGTATATACCTAACTTTTCAACAAAAATAACTAAGTCTTTTTTTTTTTAAGATTTATTTTTATTATTACTTTTTTATTGGAAAGGCGGATATGCAGAGAGGAAAGACAGAGAGGAAGATCTTCCGTCCGATGATTCACTCCCTAAGTGAGCGCAACGGCCGATGCTATGCCGTTCTGAAGCCAGGAGCCTCTTCCGGGTCTCCCACGCAGGTACAGGGTCCCAAAGCTTTGGGCCGTCCTCGACTGCCTTCCCGGGCCACAGGCAGGGAGCTGGAAGGGAAGCGGGGCTGCCGGGATAGAACCGGTGCCCATATGGGATCCCGGGCGTGCAAGGCGAGGACTTAACCACTTGCGCCACCGCGCCGGGCCCAAAAATAACTAAATCTTAAACAAAGAAGAATCCACATGGAGGGTGGACTTAAAAGCTGGAGCCAGAAGTTCCAATGACCCCACTTTGGTCCCCTCGGAGCCCAGCATCCTACTCCACCCTACTCCACTGTCACCCGTCAATCAAAGAGGTCCTTCAAAAAAGTGGGCAGAAATCACAAATATGAATGTTTTTGACCCGGAGTTGACAGGAAGTGGACAGTGTGCTAGATACTGGGGGAGGAAGAGGAGGGAACGACAGAGATGGACCCTCCGGTGGAGCTGGCCTGGACCGCCCTTACCCACGCACAGCCGGCCGGTGGCATCCAGCGTCAGACCCCTGGAACACTGGCAGCGGAAGGAGCCGGCCGTGTTGAGACAGCGTCCATTGGGACAGAGGCCGGGGAAGGCTTCACACTCGTTCACGTCTGAGGGGAAGACAATAGGGCTGGGGGTGCCCAGGCATGAGAGGGGGCCCCCCCCCCACTACGCCAGGCTGGCCATTCTCTTGCGGGGATGGGGGAGGGAGCATGGTGGAGAGAACATGGGAGGGGCGACTTCACCCAAGACTGGAGTGGAAGTGGGGATGGGGTAGGGAAACAGGGTGCACGTGTGACCTGCACTTGGCAGGTACCGGAAGCGGAAGGGGAGGGTTTTACCTCTGCAGGCACGATCCTTCTGCCGGGCGAAGCCACGGGGACAGGCAGGGTCTGGGGTTGTGAGAACCAGGGAGTCACTGGCACCACCCGGCAGACACATGCACGGGCTTTGTGCCCTGCTCCCCCAGACCTCTAAGGTGACCCCCACGTGATATTACCGATCTCGCAGCGCTGGCACGGGCTCCCCCAGGCGGCACCCAGGGTGGCACAACACTCGGCTCTCAGGGTCACCCCCTGCAGGTTGTCTTCGCAGCGGCCGTCCTGGATCCTCTGCCAGCAGGTGCGCTTGGTACTGTCTGGGAGAGGGAGGGGGCTGGCTTACTTATGGGGGCTCACGCCTGTGCCCATCCAGGGCCCCTCACGTCTTCTCACCTAGGCACGCGGTCCCCGAGGGCCCCAGGAGGCTGCCCGGGGCACACTGGCAGACGTAAGAGCCGGGCACATTCAGGCATGCCCCGTTCGCACACGGGCTGCAGAGACACTCGTTGATGTCTGTGAAAGGGGAAGGAGACAGTGATACCCAGCCCCCCTCCCCCCATCGGGCCAGTGTGGGAAGAGGTCCCACTCCTTGGTCAGGCGCCCCCTTCCTCCTCAGCCCGTAGCATGGCGGAGCCGGGCCAGAGTGTGGGAACTGCAGGAGGTGGGAAGACCCGAGTTCTTGCTGTTGTCACCTTCCTATGGCACAGGATGCCACCCACTGCGCCAAACCAGCTGACTGTCCCTTCGTTCAGGCCCCAAACACGCTATCTGTTGAACCAGAGGGTGGAAGACCTCTCTCCTTCCCACCCTGTATTATTCTGTCCGCCTAATAAACACACACACACACACACACACACACACACACACGACTGCTTAGGAGCTGGGAGCTCTCAGAACCCCACAGTCTGGGGAAGAGAGCTGGCATCTGGGCATGGTTAACGATGAACTTGATGCTTCCAGACAATCAGGCAGGATGGAATGTTCTAAGAGACCCCAGTTTCCGTTCCGGGCCCGATCCACCTGCTGAGCAAGCCCACCCTGAGGTTGGTCACCCAGAGGACCACCCAGGCTCGAGTTGGGGCCGGAGACCGTTCCCAGTGTATGGACACGCATCTCCGTGCACACACACACACAGGTAACACGTGTGTGAGCGTGTGGCTGCATGACCCACGCATGCGTACGAGGCGCTCAGTGCTTGCCAGGGAACCCTGTTACCTTGGTATTCTGCCAGAAGCGGAAACCCGGCGGGGGGGGGGGGACGGGCAGGAGCAGCTGTAGTTGCCAGGGCCGTTCTGGCACCACCCGTTATCACACAGGAAGCCATGGAGGGTGCACTCATCCACCCAGCCTGGGTGTGGATTGCCCTCCTGCCCACTGGTACACTCACCCACGCAGTCCTGGCCTGTGGCCCCCGCCTGGTACCCAGGTTCGCAGGTGCAGCGATAACTGCCGGGAAGGTTCTCGCATGCGCCGTGGGGGCACAGTTCGGGGTCCAGGGCACACTCATTGACATCTAAAGCAACACAATACGGAGGTGTATCAGCAGGTGCCCACCTCCCTGGGACTCATGCCAGGCCAGACCCTGAACCCCATTTTTTCTCTCTAAATCCAGATCGCTCAGCCTCGACAGTGCAGCCATCTAGGGCTGAAGTGGTCTTTATTTTTTCTTTCTTTTTTAAATATCTATTTATTTCAAGGCTGGTATGTTGGCTTAACAGGTTAATCCTCCACCACCAAGCGCTGGGATCCCACACGTACACCGCTTCTAAGCGGTTCTGTGGCCATTTGGAGAGTGAACCAGCAGATGGGCGCTCTGTCTCTTGAATGAAAACATATGTATTTATTTTTACTGGGAAGTGAGATTTACACAGAGAAGGAGAGACAGGGAGAAAGATCCTCCAACCACTAGTTCACTCCCCAATTAAATGGCTGTAATAGGGCCCGGCACCGTGGCCTAGCAGCTAAAGTCCTCGCTTCGCACGCGCTGGGATCCCATATGGGCGCTGGTTCTAATCCTAGCTGCTCCACTTCCCATCCAGCTCCCTGCTTGTGGCCTAGGAAAGCAGTGGAGGATGACCCAAAGCCTTGGGGCCCTGCACCTGCTTGGAAGACCCAGAAGAGGTTCCTGGTTCCCAGCTTCGGATCGGCTCAGCTCCAGCAGCTGCGGTCACTTGGGGAGCCAATCCAAAGCCAAGAGCCAGGAGCCCCTTCTGGGGCCCCCTTTTGGGTGCAGGGTCCCAAGGCCTTGGGCCATCCTTTGCTGCTTTCCCAGGCCACAAGCAGGGAGGGAGTTAGATGGAAATTGGAGCAGCCAAGATTCATTGGGGTGGGGTTGGGGATAGGCGACCATGGTGAACCCTGCCTTCTGGCTTCCCCTCTCCCAGCCTTCTTCCTCCTCTTCCTCTCAACCCTTCCTCCCAGGCCCTCCTCTCTCCTACCCCCCCAGCCTCACCCAGGCAGGAGCAGCCACTGTGCACCCACAGATACCGGGAGAGGCTGGGTCCTGGCCTGAAGTCCCCACGACTGAACCATACCTCATCCCCCGGAATGGGGCATCCTCTCTGGGGTATGAGGGACAAACGACAACCAGGTCTGGGGTCTTGTAAGTTCCCGTAGTGCCTCGTGAAATCTACAGAAACTTGGTTACAGATCCCCCTGTGGCCACCTGAATCTGTGAGTGCTCTGGTTGGCTACCGATTTATTTTTTTTTTTAACAGAGCAGGAATGGGCGTGTGGCCTGGTGATTCAAGCACCAGTTCCGACGCCCGCATCTTGGAGATCAAGTCTGACTCATTAGGCTAAACTACCACCCGTGATGCCAGCATCCCCTATGCATGCCAGTTCAAGCCATCCACCGGACGCTTCATTTCTCATCCGCTCTCTGCTCATGTGTCTGGGGAAGCAGCACAGAACGCCCCCTCCCACCCCCCGACTCACCCATGCAGGTCTTGCCGTCAGGGTTGAGCTCGAAGCCTGAATTGCAGATACACTGGAAGCTGCCTTCCGTGTTGGTGCAGTGGCCCAAATGGCAAGGGCCATTGCCAACGTCACATTCATCCACATCTGTGGAGAGGGAGGTGGTGGGCAGTCAGGAGGCAGCCTCCTAGCCCTGTTGGGTCCCCCACCTCCCCTTTGCATGGATGAATCGATGTGTGGATTGGTGGATGGATGGATGGGTGGGTGGGTGGGTGAATGGATGGATGGGTAGGTGGGTGGATGGGTGGGTGGATGGATGGATGGGTGGGTGGATGGGTGGGTGGATGGATGGATGGGTATGTGGGTGATTGGATGGATGGGTGGGTGGATGGATGGGTGGGTGGGTGGGCAGATGGACATACCCACGCATGCCTGTTTAGTGAGCGTGGCCTGGAAGCCCCTGTGGCACCGGCAGTGGTAGGAGCCAGGCGTGTTCATGCAGTCTCCATGGTGGCAAGGGCGGTTGGCACATTCGTCCACATCTGTGGACACAGCAGTCCTGAACCCTGGCCCAGCAGGGCGCGCCCTCTGTGCTCCCCCAGGCGCCACTCACCAACACACTCGCCGTGCACCGCCTGGGTATAGCCCACGCTGCACTCGCAGAGGTAGCTGGTCGGCGTGGGCAGGCAGCGGCCATTGCGGCACAGATGGGCGAAGTGTTGGCAGACATCCGTGGTGTGGTTGAAAGTCGTGGTGCCTGTGGGAAGGGCCGGGGGTGGGGGTTTAGTGCAGGCCTTGACCCATACCCCACCCTGAGGCTGGCACCCCACCTCCTGTTGATTCCATGCTGGGCCGATCCCCTCGCTGGGTGGGGGTGGGAAAGAACCCCTATCTCGAACTTCAGAGGTTCAGTTCCTCTGCTCAGCCCAAATCCCCAGCTCAGCCCATGGTCAGCACAGGGGGCCCCTTGGGACCTGCAGGGGGCTTGGTTGCAGGACAGCCCCCATCCCCGCCCCGAGCTTGGATTCCAGCCCCCCTTTAGATGTTCAAACAGACTCAACCGCTGTGCTTGAGGAATTTTAACAAGTTCACGGGGGAAAGAGGAAATGGGAGAGCAGCTTGGGGTTGGCGATTGGCACGGTGGTTAGCTGACCAACTGGGATGTCCATAACACATTTGAGAGTGCCTGGGGTCAGAAAGATGGTCCACTCCCCAAGTGTTCACAATAGCCAGAGCTGAGCCGATCCAAAGCCAGGAGCCTCTTCTGGGTCTCCCAAGCAGGTGCAGGGTCCCAAGGCTCTGGGCCGTCCTCCACTGCTTTCCCAGGCCACAAGGAGAAAACTGGATGGGAAGCGGGGCTGCCGAGACACGAACTGATGCTCCTGGCTTTAGATCTACTCAGCTCTGACCACTGTAGCCACTTAGGGAGTGAGCCAGTGGACGGAAGATCTTTCATTCTCTCCTTCTCTGTGGAAATGTGGCTTTCCAACAAAAAGAAATCTTTTAGCAAAATGCATGAAATTGTTCAACCATAAAAAAATGCCATCAAGTGTACACACAGTTACACTGTTAATGTTTAGGGAATCTTGTAAGAGAAGAAAAAAAAAATGTCTGTGTAATAGCTGGTCCCTGTCCAATTCTTTTTCCAAATATTTTCCACCCCTGCTCAGTTGAATCCGGGCACATGGATTTTCAAGAATCTGGAGGCTGAACTACATCTTGGCTCACCTCCTCGCAAGCCCACCTCCTGGCCAAATCCACATCCAAGTTCTCACCGATGCTGGAGCTGCCAGGGCCCAGCCTGGAGACCGCACGTCTGTTGGAAGCCTGGGGGCCGGGCCATGCCAGCCCTATCCCAGGACCAAAGCCACGGAGGCCGTGGTGCGATGGTAGTAACGGGACCCCCTGGATACACAGCCGCCTGTGGTCATCTGAAAGGATTTATAGCATCTGAGGCCAGGCCCGTGGCCCTGCCCCTGGGGGAGGGGGTGGAGTGGGAGAAGGAATTGGGGTGACAGGGAACAGGGGGGGTGTCCAGCCTGTAGTCTCTACCCATCACTCACCAGTGTCCTGCAGAGGACACAGCTCGGGAACTGGGCCAGCTGCCCAGCACCTGCCCCTGGCACAGCAACACTGCCTGCGGGTGGAGGGGCCCGTGAGATGTACGGCACAGTGGCCCCCAATGACCGCCAAGAAGCAGGTGCCAGGCCGGCCATCTGCAACGAAGAGTGAACTGGCTCAGATGCCAGCTCCCGGCTGGGCACCTGGTCAAGATGCCACTTGGGACTTGGGGAGTGAACCATCGGACGGAAGATCTTCCTCTCTGTCTCTCCTCCTGTCTGTCTCTCCTCCTCTCTGCCTGACTTTCCAATTAAAAAAAAATATATATATATATGAGCAAATATATATATATATTGCTCATGCCATAACCCTTGTAGGCAGCAGAGGGTGCCCCAGAGTCTCCAGGCCCCTGCCACCGACATGGCAGACCCAGACAGAGTTCCCGGACCCCCTGGGACCAGGCAGGAGAGAAAGTGTCAAGTCTGGCTTCCTTACAACCGAGTTTCGCAAAGTATCATAGGGAAGTAGGTTTGTCTCCTATAAGCGAGCCTCCCAACACACCCACACAGTTGACCCTGGTGGTGAGCCCTCCGTCTCCACAGGCATTCAAAAACAGCAGCAGGCCTGGGCAGGCAGGCCAGTTCCAGGGCTACCTGTCTTTGGCTTCAGGCACTGCTGGGCTATCTGAACTGACTGCAAGTTTGAGGAGAGGTCTCCAAGGGTAGGGGGTTGGCGCAAGCAGCAACAGCCAGGACCCCTGGGGAGACTGAGGCAGGCATGTCAGTGGGGGGGGTGGTGGTGGTGATGGCTGGGGGGCAGGTCGGATCTGAGACTCTGAAACTCACTCTGGAATGTGACAGCTTTACAAGCTGATGAAATTCTCCTGGAAGGCTTTTAAACTAAGGTCTCCATCTTCCCAGCTCCCCACTTTAGCCACAACCCTCCCCTGCCGCGCACCTGGCCCATCACCCCAACACGTGGAGTGGTGTGTGTGTATGTGTGTGTGTGTGTGTGTGTGTGTGTGAGGGCCCTTGGCTCTCAGCGTCCAGGCTGCTGGGCCTGTCCACCAGACCTGCAGCAACCAGTTAAGATCAGTCACAACCCTGCTCAACCAGAAAGGCACGTGATCCCCCAGCCCCAGGGCAGCCAGGGAGCAGGTTCCAGCCAGGTGAGCCAGGAAGGGCAAGGGGACTGAAGGTAGGACCTGGGGACATTCCGTGTTTGACATTCACCGTGCACCAGCCAGCCACCAGGGGAGCCCCTCCATTGCCCCCCCCCCAACTGCCAGACTGGGCGTGGGGTAGAGTGGGCTTGGAGATGCGCTCCCACCCACGCCAGCATCTGTGCTCGGCCCTGGTGGCCCCAGGGACTTTGCTGGTCACAGCCCAGAATGGAGGGAAGGGTCGGGGAGAGCCCCACTTGCCACTGTTGAGGGGGGGTCGAAGCACAGGGGAGGGGGAGAAAGGTACGTATTCAGGGTCACACACAGCCCAGAATCCTCCACTCACTCCTAACCCTGACTGAGCAGTCTAGGGCAAAGAACCAGCTCGGACCTGTCCAGCCGATTTCAATGCTTCTGGCATCTCACAGGAGGAGCCGGAGGGTCACGAGGGGCCGTCGAGATGATGGCTAGAGGGTCGGGGTGGGGGGGTTGCAGAGTCCTGAGGTGCATGGGAGTGAGGTCAAGAAGCCAAGAGCCAATCAGAGGGCTCCAGCGGGGTGCTGAAGGGGCAGGGGGCGCAAGGCCATAGAGACCGCAGGATTCGACGGGGGGCCCCCCCCCCAGGCTCCTCCACTCACCCGGGAGGCAGCGACTGCCATCCCTGCTGCTGACGAAGCCACGGGGACACAGGCACACGTAGCTGCCGGCTGTGTTGGCACAGTCACGCCCTGCGCAGAGGCCCGGGATGGCTTGGCACTCGTCCACATCTACAGGGAGGGAGGGAGAGGCATGTCCCAGGAGGGAACCAAGGCTTCCGTGCCCACCTCCACTGCCCGCAATCCCACGCCGCTCACCTTGGCAGGCCCCGGTGTGGACACTGGGGACGAAGCCACGGCGGCAGGGGTGTGGCTGCGCAGGACAGAGCTGGCAAGGGAGACCCCAGGCCCGGCCCACGGTGGCACAGCATAGCGTCTTCGTGCCCACGAGGCCGCTCAGCTGGGGCTGGCACCCTTGGGTGCCCACGTGGCTGAAGCAGGGTCCCGTCCGGTAGTCTGCAGGGCACACACAGGGGCAGGTGGCTGCACCAACACCCTGGGGTTGTTCAGTCTTTTTTTTTTTTTTGTCTTTCCAACTTTATCCAACTCCTATCTACCTTGCAAAACCCATTTTCTTTAGAGCGCGTCAAGCTGATCAACCCTCCCTGGGGGACAGGCAGGTGGACAGGAGGGACAGGCCAGCAGCTCCAAGGCCCACAGAGGGCAGGGCATGGCCATATACCCTCTCAGGCCCCCGTCCCTGGCAGCCTGAGCCTAGGGCACAGAGCCGTCCCCACCCAGTAATCCAGGCTCTGCCAGCTGGACTCAGCTGAGCCCCGGGGGGCCTGGACCACGGTGGGAGAATCCTCACAACCCCAGGGCTTGCTGTGCTCCCTCTCCGCCTCCAGGAGGTGCTCTTGTACCCTCCTGTCCACACTGACCACCCAGGCCTCCTGTCTGCTGGCCCAACCAAGGTCAGGCCCCCTCTCCGAGGACACCTCTTTCCCACAATTAATTTGGAGTTCCTCTCTCTCACCCTCTCCTCCCAACATCCAGGCAGGCAACTCCCACCCACCAACTGTTTCTGGAATGATTCTGGATGGGTGTGGGAGAACAGGGGTCGGTATTGTGGTACAGCAAGTTAAGCTACCGCCCGCGATGCTGCCATCGCACAAGCGTGCCGGTTCGAGTCCTGGCTGCTCCACTTCCCATCCAGCTCCCCCGTAAATGCCCTCTGGGAAAGCGGTGGAGGATGGGCCAAAAGGACTTGGGCCCCCGCATTCACCCACGCTCGCAAGGCTCGGGCCTGGCTCTTTGCAGCCATTTGGGGAATGAGCCAGTGGATGGAGACTCTGTTTCTATCTCCCCTCTCTCTCCCTGTGACATTTTTCCCACTAACATGAACTCCCTATCCTAGGAAATTCAGCCCCTTCCTCCAGGAAGCCAGCTGGACTCAGCCGCACCTCACCCCGCCTCCCAGCACATCCTGGGTACCTTGCTCACACTCGGGACCCTGGAAGCCATACACACAGGCGCAGTGATTGGGCCCAATGCAGCGGCCTCCGTTGCGGCAGCCCCGCTCACAGACAGCTGTGGAGAGAAAAAAGGACGCGGGATGAGGGGGGCGGACAGGTGGTGGCTACAGGTCCCCAAGCCAGCCCAGTCCCATCCAGCAGTCCCCAGACCAAAGCACAAGGGTTCTGAAGGCTTGGGTACTCACGCTGCCCACACACGGTGCCCGTGTAGCCCCGTGGGCACAGGCAGGACTCGCCGCGGCAGCTGGCTCCGTTCATGCAGTTCACGCTGCACCCCGGAACTGTGTGTGTGTCGGGGGGATGCGGGACAGGCATGGAGAGGTGAAGGCACCTACTCGCACACCCCAGCAGACGCCAGGGGCCTTCTCCACCTGGGCGCTCACCTCGGCTTACCCCGCAGCTGGGGCCCAGCGTCCCATCAGTGCAGGTGCACAGGTTGGGCTGGGAGCAGAAGCCCTCGCCACAGGGGCTCCTGCAGACGGCTGCGCGTGGACAGCGTGAAGGTCACGGTTAGAGCAGGAAGGTGGACGCCACTGGCCGGCCACCTCCTGGGCTGCCGCTACCTGAGGGCGCACCCGTAAGCGCCTTGCCTCTGCGCCCCTGTATTCCCAACCTCAGCTGGCGGGGGGGAGGCACAGTGCATCAGAAGCGCTGAGCTGCAAGGACAGAGGCTGAGAGCTCAAGGCTCCATTGCGGTTGTGAAGTTCAATGCCACAGAGAGAAGACGCAGGGCAGACACAAAGCCAGAAACCGGGATGGGGCTCCAGGGATGTGGAAACCGGCAGACAAAGCCAGAGGTGTTCCAGGGGGTCAGCCAGGGGCGGCTGGACAAGCATACTGGTCACCAGGACCCCGCCTGTGGACAGGGAGGATGGGGGAGAGCCCCCCTGCCCATGCCCTGTGTGGATGAGGGTGGGGGGGCAACAGCACTCACGCACGACACACTGGCTCCTGCCTGGCAGTGTCTTCCAGCCGGGGCAGCAGTACGCATGGAAGCGGAATCCACACACGTTGGGCCTTGGCACGAAGGGCAGGATGTGGCCAGTGAGCGCCCCTCCCCCAGCTGCCCAAGAACGGCCCCGCCCAGGGTCTCTCCCTCCTGGGGAAGCCCACCACCACCACTGCAGCCACCACGCACCCCTGCAAGGTCAAGGCGTTGGGGCCGCCCTGTCTCCGCAAACCAGGACTCGCAGGATCGGGCACCCCAGATGACCAGTGGCCTTGGCCACCCACCACCAGGTACGACAGGACCGTCCAAGCCAGCAGGAGCTGGGCCAAGGGGCTCCCGGCCACCACCGCGAAGCTGGCTCCAGTCCTTGCTCCGGACAAAGTCATGGTGTGTGCCTGCGGGAGTGAGCGGGGAGGGATGCTTGGGGAAGGGTCAGCACTCCGGGTGGACTTCCTGGAGGAGGTGTGGTAACTCCAGAGGGCAGCTGCTGGAACAGGGGGAAAGGAAGCAGTAGGGGGGATGGACAAAGCCTTGTGTCCAGGCCACGGGGAGGTCTTAGGTGGGAGTGGGGGTGGGTGGAGGGGCACACAGATGCCCATCCTGGCCTAGGCAGCCAGTGAGGGTCGGAGGGGGATGGTTAAACTTCCCATACAGGCACAATCTGGGAGAAGACAGCCAGGGCACAGGTGTTGGGGGCCCCCTCAAGGCGAGGGGAGAGGTCAGGCCAGGCGCCCCCCAAAACACATGCCCGGTGTGTTTGCGGTACCATTTTCCAGCCCAAGGAGTTGAATCATTGGTCCCCTGTCCCCCTTTAGGACTTGAGGGATGCCATGACGCAATGAGGTGGCCTCCAGCAAGGAGAGGCCCCCCCCTACACTTGCTGCGGAAGGGCACCCCTCGCTCCCTCCCACCTGCCCCAGCCTGCCTGGGGTGTGGGTAGCGATCTCTGGCCTGACCTGGCCTGGCCGGCCCCCCACCCCACCCCTCTCTCCTCTCTCTGCCCCCACCAGAGGCGTTGGAGCCCTAGACACTGTTGAATGAATGAACCGGGACCCGCGCAAGGCACGGGACTGGGAGCAGCGGTGGGCGGGACAGCGGAGGGTCCAGGGATCCGGTGAGGCGCAGGGGGCGCGCCCCGAACCCGCCGGCCACACAGGGCGAAGGACGCGGGGGTCCCCAGGATCGCCAGCAGCCTCGTCCTCGCCCTCACCTGCCTGAGCCTCGGGGCACCCTTGTCTGAGTTGCACTCGCACCCCTCCTAGTCCCGGCGCCCAGGGGATGGTGGGGATGGAGGGGGGATGGCGGGGAAGGGGCTGGGCCTGGGCGCAGACAAAGGAATCCCTTCGCCCGCTCCGCCTCCCGCTCCGGCTCGCCCACCCGCGCCCCCAGCGCGCCCCTGTCCCGCCCGCCACGGCCCGCGCCTCCTCTACCTGCGGGGCGGCGCGCGTGGAGGTGGCACGGCGGGCGTGGAGGTGGCACGGCGCGCGTGGAGGTGGCACGGCGGGCGGACGCACGCGGGGCTGGGCGGGTTCCCGGGGCGCAGGGGGCCCGGGGCGGGAAGGCGAAGGCGGGCAGCCGACCCCGCCGAGCTCCCAGTCCGGTGCTGCCGCTTGGGGGGCGGGAGGAGGTGGAGGAAGGCGAGAGCGCGGCTCGGGCGGCTCCGGGTTGGTGGTGACGGTGGGTGGGGGGACCCCGAGGGGCCCGCGTTCTCTGGCTGCTGGAGCCCGAGGCGGAGCCCCTCCACTCACCACCACCATCACCACCATCACCACCATCACCACCACCATCACCACCATCACCATGCCTGCCCCAAGCTGGGAGGATGTGGATAGGGTGGGAGTCTCCGGGACGCACCTGGGCGGCGCACCTGCGCACGGTTCCCGGGAAACTCACCTGGGGAGGGGGGGGCTGGGCTCAGCAAAGACAAGAGGGTCCGATTCCAAAGCAGATTACCCCAATCCCAGAGTTGAGACTCGGAGGGTCTCGCCTATCCTCGTCCCTTCAACACACACACATATATTTCAGTCTCCTGTGTGGGGCCGGGACCCCACAGGGCCCAGGCATCCGCAGCGACCCTAACTCACTTGGGAAGGTGTTCCGCTAACAGCTGTGCATGTTGCAAAACCCGCTTTAAAAAAAAAAAAAAAAAATCCCCGCTGGTGGGCCCAGCGCTGTGGCCTTGTGGCTAAAGTCCTTGTGATGCTGGGATGCCACTTGGCCGCCAGTTCTAATCCTGGAGGTACCAGCATGGATACCTTTCAATTAAAAAAAAAAAATTAAGGTGTGAAGTTTTTAATGATCTGAAAGGCAGAGGCATCTGCTGGTTCGTTCCCTAAAGGTTGAATCCAGAGGCTCCATCCAAGTCTCCCACACGCAGGTGCAGGGTCCCAAAGCTGTGGGCCGTCCTCCACTGCTTTCCCAGGCCACAAGCAGGGAGCTGGATGGGAAGTGGAGCTGCCGGGATTCGAACTGGTGTGTACTTGGGATCCCAGTGCATGCAAGGCAAAGATTTTTTTTGTCACTAGGCTACCGCGCTGGACTCTCAGATATTTTTACGATAAGGTTATGCTGGTTTTGAAACACACACACCTTGGAAACCCACACATAGCATTTTTCATAGTATGTGTCTTTCAAGGGCTGGCAAGGATCTTGATTTTTGCCGCCAACAGCTGGGTGCGCTCACTTCCTCTCCCGGCTGCCATTCCACCATCCCACCCACGCTGGCCTCTCATCCACAGAACCTCTGTCCCCACCGGGTCTGTCGGCAGCTACGGCAATGCCACCTGTTGCTGTCACCGTGAGCTGCCAACATGTTTGGTCACCCTCAGTTCCTCCCGCCCCTCCACGCTCTCCCCAGACCCCAGCATCCCCACCTTCCGACTCTAGAATCCCACGCTGGTGGGTGCAAGACCCAGGGGACCCCCGAATGCGCCCAGGAAGGACTCGGCGGAGGGTGGAGATGGCCGCCCCTCCCCGTGTGCGTCCCTGGGGGCGCATGGAGTGCCCTGTGCCCGCCCCGCCCCGCCCCGCCCAGGCTGGCCGGCCAAGGAGGTGGCCTGGGGACAGAGGCTGCCTTTGTTTCAGAGCAGGAAGCAGCTGCGGGGCCCCGGAGCTTGGCCCGGTGCCTGGGAACGAGGCTGTGGAAGGCGGAGGGGGAGTCGGCTGCAGCAGGCCACCAGGCAGAGCAGGCTGCAAGTCTGTGTTCAAGGGCCTCCCGGTCCAGTCCTCGGCTAGGGGTCAGGGAAAGGGCGGCAGCCATGAAAGCCCCCCCCCATTATGCAGAGGCGAAAACTGGCTCCTGGCACATCTGAACCCAGGCCACGGAGCCACAGTTCTTCTTGCTATCCATTCAATGCTCCCCCACGCCCTTCGCATCCACCCCAAAAGTTCACTGCTTGGGAACTTAATCCCCACATTCATGTCAATTTTCCATTTTCAAAATGTATTCTTTTGGGCCCAGAGTGGTAGCCTAGTGGCTAAAGTCCTTGCCTTGCATGTGCCAGATCCCATATGGGTGCCAGTTCGTATCCCAAGCTGCTGCATTTCCCATCCAGCTCCCTGCCTGTGGCCTGGGAAAGCAGTGGAGGACGGCCCAAAGCCTTGGGACCCTGCACCTGCGCGTGGGAGACCTGAAAGAGTTCCCGGCTCCTGGCTTCGGATCAGCACAGCACCAGCTGTTGCAGTTGCTTGGGGAGTGAATCATCGGACAATCGGACAGAAGATCTTCCTGTCTGTCTTCTCTGTTCTCTCTATCTGACTTTGCAATAAAAATAAATCTGTTTTAAAAAATGAAAGAAGGCTGGGAGTGTAGATGTGGCTTGGGGACAGCATGGAGGTGCAGTGGGTCCCAGGTCCCTAGGGATGGGGTGGGATGGGATGGGATGGGATGGGATGGGATGGGATGGGATGGGATGGGATGGGATGGGATGGGATGGGATGGGGTGGGATGGGGTGGCATGGATGGATTTGCCCCACAGGACCTGGTGACTTGGGGTGGCGATGTTACAGAAGGCGGCCACCAGGCGCCGCACACGCCCTCCTGTCCAGCGCCCAGGAGTCGCCCTGCCACTGGGCGGCGCCCTTTACACGCGTTGCACAACACAAGCCCCTGCCCATCCTCACCCCAAGCCCCGGGCAGCACCACAGAGAAAAGGAATGCGGGGGAGGCATTGCAAAGGATGGCTGGCCAGGCCTTACAGAGGAAGCCGTGCTGAGAGCACAGGAGGACGAGGGTTCAATGTGATTAGCCAGAAACAGCAGCCGACCACACACCTGCTTCCCTGGGGTGGAGAGCAAAGGGCAGGGAAGGGGCGACTCTGGCTCAGGGGAGTCCCAGACTGGAGGGACTGGCTAGGGGCGCTGCAGCCTCAGCATCCCACAGCCTGAGCCAGATGGTGCTTGGTTCTGGGGCAGTGGTGACACTTCCAATCCTCTGGCTGTTGCACCTGCTGGGGAGACCCAGCTGGAGCGCCCGGCTCCTGGCTTCATGCTGGCTTCCAGACCTTTGGGGAGTGAATAGCACAAGGAAGATTCTTTCTCACTGACCCTGCCTTTCAAATATAATTTGCGAGGATAGGTTCTAAGGCAATAGAAAAGAGGCACCTGAAAAGGAAAAGCTAGGGAACACTTGGACTGATACTCAGGGTTTGCAAGTATTGCAATGTCACACTGTGCCCCATATGTCAGTGCAATTACTATCCATCAGATTTTTTTTTTCTTTTAATGCTTAAGGTTGTGAAAGCGCTGACTAAGCTACGTGGAACATTGCGCACGGAACACACAGGTTATGACCCTGAGCCCCAGAAACATATTTTTCAAAACGAAGGAATTCCGAAAAGCACAAAATGAGTGGGCACCTTCAAACTCATGATATTTTTGGGCATGCTGAACTGAGACAATTCTAACCAAAAAAACTCATCTGTTCCTTTTTATTTATTTATAAGGTTTATTGATTTTTATTGTAAAGTCAGATTTACAGAGAGGAGGAGGGACAGAAAGGAAGATCTTCCATCCGATGGTTCACTCCCCAAGTGAACGCAATAGCCGGTGCTATGCCAATCCGAAGCCAGGAGCCAGGAACTTCTCTCTGGGTCTCCCACACGCAGGTGCAGGGTCCCAAGGCTTTGGGCCGTCCTCCACTGCTTTCCCAGGCCACAGGCAGGGAGCTGGATGGGAAGTGGAGCAGCCAGGATTAGAACCAGTACCCATATGGGATCCCGGCTCAAGGCGAGCATTTTAGCTGCTTGGCCACTGCGCCAGGCCCACCTTTTTATTTTTAAATAAGATTTCTTGGGTCAGGCATGGTGACTCAATTGGTTAATCCTACCGCTTCAAGCGTGGACCAGTGAACCAGTGGATGGAAGATCTTTTGGTCTCTCCTTCTCTCTGTGAATCTGTCTTTCCGATACAAATGAATAAATCCTTTCATTAAAAGAGGTTTCTCTTAAGATTCCTTTTATTTAGGGCCCAGCACGGTGGCGCAGTGGTTAAAGGTCCTCACCTTGCATGCCCGGGATCCCATATGGGCGCCGGTTCTAATCCCGGCAGCCCCGCTTCCCTTCCAGCTCCCTGCCTGTGGCCTGGGAAAGCAGTGGAGGACGGCCCAAAGCCTTGGGACCCTGCACCCGCATGGGGAGACCTGGAAGAAGCTCCTGGCTTCGGATCGGCATAGCATCAACCGTTGTGGCTCACTTGGGGAGTGAATCATCGGATGGAAGATCTTCCTCTCTGTCTCTCCTCTCTGTATATCCGCCTTTCCAATGAAAAAATAATAAATATAAAATCTTTTTTAAAAATTCCTTGTATTTATTTGAAAGGCAGAATTATGGATAATCTTCCAACTGTTGATTCATTCACCCAATGGCCAGGGCTGGGCCAGGCTGAAGGCGGAGCGTCCATCCAGGCCTCCCACGTGGACCCAGGACCCCTGGCATATCTACTTCCCCGGGCACATCAGCAGGAAGCTGGATTAGAAGTGGAGCAGCTGGGACTCGAACTAGTGGCTACGTGGGAGGCTGGCACTGTAGGCAACGGTTTAACCCGTCGTTGCACAACGCCAGCCCCTGTGAGTCTGCAAAAAAAACAAACAAACAAAATTGTTCCACCTTGAGTCGGCAGATGTTCGCCTCCGAGGGCAGGGCAGCGAGCAGTGCGCTGGCAGAGTGTCAGCCTCATGTATATTTCATTCTAATGGATGTCGCCAGGTTGTAGATTATCGACAAACCGAGTTCCAACTTCATGCGCCAGGACGAACAAAGCCGGGGTGGGGATGGCGTGGGGGCGGGGACAGCTCAATAGCACGACATCCTGCCAGGCGGGCGATGCTCAGGGCAGCTTTACACTGGCCAATGACTAGGTACACAGATTGATAAGACCCATCCCAACCAGCCCCGATGGCACCAGTGGAGCTGGGATGCAGGGGCCTGAGCAATGCAAGGTGATGGGTGCTAACTTGTTTTCCTTTTATAACATTTTTTTTTTTCTTTTAGAAAGGTAGATTTAGGGACCGGCGTGATAGCCTAGCGGTTAAAGTCCTTGCTTTGAACGCCCCCGGGAGCCCCTATAGGCGCCTGTTCTAAGCCCAGCGGACCCGTTTCACATCCAGCTCCCTGCCTGTGGCCTGGGAAAGCAGTGGAGGATGGCCCAAAGTTTTGGGACTCTGCACCTGTGTGGGAGACCGGAGGAGGCTCCTGGCTCCTGGCTCAGGATTGATTCAGCTCCAGCCGTTGCGCTCACTTGGGGAGTGAATCATCGGATGGAAGATCTT